CTACTTGAAAATTATTTTGGTGTTAGATGAGATTTACAAGGATATTCAGGCGATAGCATAATTGGCCTTTCTTCTGCTTGCTTTTTCTGTAGTTTTGTCTATCTGTGTTCTGCTTGAGTTGCGCTGATCCTATGCGTCTTTGGCCTGCGCTTCCTCGTTCTTGTTTGCGCAGTGTTCATACGTCAGTTTGCTCCACATACATATATATTCTGTAGTTATTCACTTTCTTTTGCATGCTGTAATTTGGTTGTCTATGGACGGCTATTCCCATACAGTGTACCCTTCAGACCCCGAGCTGAAAAGCGGAAAAATCACTTAATTAGCCAGTCAAACGAGCGCCACAGGGGGAGTTGATATTTTCTTTTAAGAAATTTGTATAATATTTGAATTGTTTTAAATAATATCTTTTCTGCTCCGCCAATCGAGCGGTTCAGAGTCGGCTGTGTCGTTGAGCCGACACCAGTAGCGAGGCAGCGGCCATCGTGGCTCCAGGTAGATCGCATGCTTGGGTTTCAGATACAATAAACAACAAAATAGAATTATTAAAAGTTTTAATTGCTCATAAATGTACATAGAAGGCTTTTTATTTAGTAAAATGAAGTGCTTAGATCATTGTTTTTTTCTCGTTTCCCACTCTGACTGAGCCGCGAGCCGGTGGTTTCACTTTCAGTATCGAGCCTGTGCATCCGCAATCTGTACCGCCTCGTTGCTTTTCTTCTTTTTCAAGAATTTCGATTTGAAATTTCAAGTATAATCTTTTAATCGAGTGATTTTGCAGAACTCTCTCAGGCTGCAGCTGCATGACGCGCCACAGTCAGTCAGCAGCGCAGCAGCAACGATGGCCGCCGCCAGATCCGACGCTGAAGCTTAAGACAAAGCGAAATACTACAGCATCCCCTTTTTTATTGCTTTTATTCTTCTTCTGTGTTGCAACAGTGCCTTTTGGGCTGCATTACAGCGGCTCACCAGGGGAGATAACGCCCGGGCCTTGAGGCCTTCAAAGGTTCTCGTTCCTTCTAAGCAGTGAAACTTTAACTCAGTTTGGACTGTCTAGGCATCTTCTATTTGCTGCATATTCGGCATCCAGCTTCAGAGCCACTAGCACGAATTATCACTAACGGGGTGGTCGAAAGGATCGAAGAAGGAAGCCTCACCACCGGCAAAACAAGGCAGGGGAAAACGAAATAAAATAAAGCAAAAAACAACAAAACGAAACACAACAAAAGAAAACAGCTCGAAGGAAAACAGCACAAAGCAAACCAACCCCCAGCTTGCAGCATCTTCATGCCTGTATTTCAGCTTTCTTACTTGGCTTTACTTCTATCCAACCAGAGCCCTTCTGCGGCTTCTGTCTTTCCCTCTTCAGTTGCGAAGAAAAGGTACCCTGGGTTTTATTATATGTATCTAGATAATATATCTAAGGGTTTACATTATATATATATATATATATATATATATATATATATATATATATATATATATATATATATATATATATAAGGGCTTTTCTGAACTCAAGAAAGTAGGAGAAGACTGTCAGGGGCGGCCGCGTGCAGAAACCTAGTGTTGTATTTCAACCATCTCCCTCATGTCAGGCCCCCCACCTTCTTCTCCTGCCCCTGCTTCTGACTCCGGCAAAATCACGAAAGGTCCCCCACTGATGAAGGGCCTCGTGCCCGGGGGCCCCCCTAAGAAACTTTCTTTCCTGCGGGCCCCCAAGCTACCCCCGAAACCGCTGTCAGCAAAAGACCCGAAGCCGAAGGGCCCCCTTGCTGCTGCAGCAAGCAAGGATGCTGCTCCTGCAGCAACAGCACAGTCAACTCCTGATGCTTCTGTCGTTTCTGGCGAAGACAGCCCCCAGAGCCCCCTCTCCCGAAGTCCAAGCCAAAGCCCCCAAGGGGCCCGTGAATACAGCGAGACGCCCTCCCGCACGCTCTCCCGCAACAGCGTGGCGGGGGCGGGGGCCCCCGGATACAGGGGCCCCGGGAGTTCTATGGATCTATCTTTAACAGGGACCGAGGGTCTGTCTGTTCAGCAAGATGTACATGAAAGCGATGAGGGCCCCCAAAGCAAACCATTGGAACAACAAACAGAAGAGCCCGCAGGGGCCCCCTCCACACCGCCTCTGCGCAAATCTACAGCAGTTGGGCTTAACCTCCAGAGCTCCGGGCCATCATCTAGTGAGGCAGCTCCTGCGCTGGGGGCCCCTTCAGCAGGAGAGGGGGCCCCCAAAGAGCGACTCCTGAGCGAAGGGGGCCCTTCCTCAGAAAGGCCGAGCGGCTCAAGCAGTGCATTCGCCTCAGAAAGCAGAGCTAATGCAGGAGACAAGGATTTTCTACGTGCATCAATGGCTGCACCAGGGCAGCGGGGGGCCCCCCAGGAGCCTCAACGTCAGCAGTTAAAGGGGTCCCCCAATGCCCCCTCCTCTTTGCCTGGGCTGCAACAAACAGCGACAGACAGCAACGACAACCGCTCCCCCGATCCGTACTCCCCTTTAATAAGGCAGGCATTTGGGAGGAGGTGGACAACGCCGGGGGCCTCCATCGAGGTGTTGGGGGCCGTGGGGGGGCCCCACTCCCACTACACAGTGACAGCAGGGCCCCTGAACTGCACGTGGTGTACGTGCAGCGGCGGGTTGGCCCCAGGGGGGACTTGCTGCTGCTCCATGGCAAGCCCCATCCCCCATATGTGTGCTGTTGGGACGCATGCAGCGGGTGCTCTCTGTGCCTGCTGCTCCCCCAGCTACATGCAGGCATCTGCGGGCTTTCTTGCGCAGCAGCATCACCACTTGCTGCAGCAGCACAACCACTTGCTACAGCAGCAGCAGCAACTGTTGCGGCAGCCTCTTCATGGAGTTCCCTCAGGACTGACTGTGGCGCACCACCCAGGGTCTCCGCTTCACATGCCTGGTCCCGCACCACAGCCGCAGCAGCAAGAACAGCAGCAGCAAGAACAACAGCAGCAGCAACAGCAATCTACTACAGCAATGAATTTGCATTTCGACCTCATTCCGGCCGATGCTGCAGAGCGGGCGGGAGAAAACGACGAATCAGATGAAAGCGATTCGGGTAAGAAACACCCCCGTGGGGTGTATATCCAACTACTGCACCAGCAGCGCTAGAAGCACACACATGCATGCATGCATGCATGCATGCAGATTGGGTGTACACACGCATCAAGAACTGCTCCCTGTGCCGACCCCCCTCCCCATCCCCCCTTCCTATTTCCCTTAGATATATAATTTGGGTGCACGTGAGGCAGGCAGTCTCTTCCACACACACATATATATATATATATATATATATATATATATATATATATATATATATATATATATATATA